TTTGTATTGGGTTTCATTGAATCAATAAATCACTTTGTGGGGAATTGACATCTTTGCAATATTGTGACTTCCAATCCACAAACAAGGTATACCTCTTCATCTTTTAGGCCTTCTTTCACTTCCTTTACTGTCGCTTTGTAGGTTTCTGAGTACAGGTCTGGCGCATATCCTGTTAGAGTTATAGCTCAGTATTTCCATGTTTTGAAGGAGCTGTTGCAAATGGTACTTTTTCAAATTGCAGTTTCTTTGCTTTTTGAATTCATTTATTTTTGAGAGAGAGAGTGAGTGAAAGCGTGAGCAGGAGAGGGGCAGAGAAAGGGGGAGAGAGAGAGAGAGAGAGAGAGAGAGAGAGAGAGAGAGTGAGAGTCCCAACCAGGCTCTGCACTGTTAGTGCAGTGCCCGATGCAGGGCTCAGTCTCACGAACCATAAGGTGGTGACTGGAACTGAAATCAAGGGTCAGATGCCTAACCGACTTAGCCACCCAGGTGCCTCTCAAATTTCAGTTTCTAATTGTTCATTATAGAATATATTAGCATAATCAGCTTTTGGATATTGGCCTTGTATCCTGTAATCTTGCTAAATTCTCTTAACTATTTCTAGTAACTGTGAATAGATTCTTTGGGATTTTTCTTTGTAGATGGCCATATCTATTAATAGAACAGTTTTATGTTTTATTCTCCAATAGGCATACCTTTTCCTTCTTTTTCTTACCTGATTTCACTGGCGTGGATCTCCACAAAGCAGTGGAGCAGATACCCATGCATAACTCCCAATCTCAGGGAAAAAGCGTTCTCTTTTTCCATAAAGTATGCTGTTAGCTGTAGATTTTTTTGAAGATGCCCTCGTTAGGTTGAGGAAGGCCCTCTTCTAAAGCTTTGCTGAGAGTTTCTGTCACAAATGAATATAGAATTTTGTCAAATGCTTTTCTGCATCTATTGTGATTATCACATGATTTTTCTTCTCCAGTTTGTTGATATGATGAATTATGTTGACTGAATTGTGAGTATTGTGAATTTTGAATTAGCCTTTAATTTTCAGGATAAATCCCCACTTTCTCATAAAGTATTATCCTTCTTATGTATCCTTGGGTTTAATTTACTAAAATTTTAGTGAGAATATTTGTGTCTATGTTCAGGAGGGATGTTGGTCTGTAGTTTTATTTTTGTTCTTGCAATATCTTTATCTGGTTCTGATGTCAGTGTCATTCTCACATCAATGATGCAGTCCCTCCTCTTCATTTTTCTGAAGTGTTTGGTAGAATGTTTGATAGAATTCACTAGTGAAGTCATCTGGCCTTGGAGTTTTCTTTGTCACAAAGTTTTTAACTACAGATTCAAGTTCTTTAAAAGATATATGAATATTCAGGTTATCTAGCTCTTCTAGATTGAGCTTTGGTAATTTGTGTCTTTCCGAGAATCCATCCATTTCATCTAGGTTGCTAAATTAAATAGAATAAAGTTATTCATAATATTCTTTTTTATCCTTTTAAAAAAAATTCTCTCTGTTGTCCCTCATATTGGGAATTTGCATCTTCCATATTTTTATCGTTGCTGATTTTGTGAGAGGTTTATCAATTTTATGGATTTTATTTAAAAAACGCATTGTAGGGACGCCTGGGTGGCTCAGTTGGTTGAGTGTCCGACTTCAGCTCAGGTCATGATCTCACTATTTGTGAGTTCAGGTCCCACATCAGGCTCTGTGCTGACAGCTCAGAAGTCTGCTTTGGATTCTGTGTCTCCCTCTCTCCCTGTCCCTCCCCTGCTTGTGTGCTCTCTCTCTCTCTTTCAAAAATAAATAAACATTAAAAAATTTTAAAAACACATTGTTCTCACTGATTTTTTTTTCTGTTGATTTTCTGTCTTCAATTTCACTGATTTCTGTTCTTTATCATTCCTTTCTTCTGTTTGCTTTTGGTTTATTTTTCTCTACTTTTTCTAGTTTTTTGTTTTTGAGAGAGAGAGCGAGCGAGCGAGCACAAGTGAGAGAAAGTCAGAGGGAGAGGAGGACAGAGAATCTTCAGCAGGCTCCACATCCAGAACAGAGCCCAACATGAAGCTTGATCTCATGACCCTGAGATAGTGACCTTTGCTGAAATGAAAAGTCAGCCACTTAACTGACTGAGCCACCTAGGCACCCCAACTTTTTCTAGTTTCTTAAGGTGTTGGTTTGTAATATAGGTGTTCTCCTTTTCTAATATAGGTGTTCTAGTGATATAAATTTCACCTTTAAGTACTTCTTTAGCCAAATCCCATTGATTTTGATATGCTGTGTTTTAATTTTCATTTAGTGCAAACTATTTTCTAACTTTCCATTTGATTTTTTTCTTCAACCACAGGCTATTTATGAGTTACCAGTATATTAAAAATGGTTGTCTAGTGCTGGGATTGCGTGTAATGATTTTCACATATATACATTTGTTTTTACTCTGTTCTTTTTGGAACTTTGTGCAAGTTTTCCAATTTTATACATTAAGTATGCATTGCTTTTCTAAGAAGAAAATATAAAATGCCACTCTACATTTTGTAGTACTTTATCATTTACAGAGTTTCACTTAATCCTCCAACCTCTTCTTGAGAAACAGATAATCTATGTCCCACAGGTGTTGAAACCAGATTGGCAATTTTTTTATTTTCATTTTTATTTTTTACTTCTTTTAAGACTGATAGTTTTAATGACTTGCTCAATGACACACAGGTAGAGCTAGTTTAGAATTCAAACTCAGATTTTCTGACTCTCCCAGTTCATCCTTCTGAAGAAGTTGGAAACAATGGTTTGAAAAGTAAATTGGAATGTATTTTCGGGGTGGTTGGAAAAAAAATCATTGAGGGTCTTGAATGTGTGACTTGAGACAATGATCTTAGTGTAGTATTTTTTAATGTTTATTTTTGAGAGATAGCATTAGTGGGGGATGGACAGAGATAGAGGGGGACTGAGGACCCCACATGTGCTCTGCACTGATAGCAGTGACCCCATGTGGGGCTCGAACTTATGAACTGTGAGAGAGTGACCTGAGCTGAAGTCTGACATTCAACTGACTGAACCATCCAGGTGCCCATTTCAGTGTAGTATTAATCTAAATCTCTGATTCCTAGGGGCTCTCAGGCATGATCTCAGCCAGTTAAGCATCCGACTTAGGCTCAGGTCATGATCTCACAGTTTGTAGGTTCAAGCCCCGCATCAGGCTCTGTGTTGATGGCTCAGAGCCTGGAGCCTGCTTAGGATTCTGTATCTACTTCTCTTTCTGTCCCTCCCCAGCTTGTGCTCTGTCTCTGTCTCTATAAAAAATAAATAAACATTTAAAAATTAAATAAATAAATAAATCTCTAATTTCTAGTGAGGTTGAACATCTTTTCCTGTTTATTGCCTGTTCGCATTTCTTCTTCTACCAAATTGTTATTCATGTCCCAGATAAATAGATCAACTTTCTGCTGGACTGGCTGGTCTTTTACTTATTAATTTAAATGATCAAAAGTTCCCAATACTCATACTTTATTTGTTGGAAATATCTTCTCCCAGCTTCTTGCTTATCTGCCTTTTCTTTATTCAATTTTGATCATCAGAGAAAAGTGTACTGGAGAGTGGGACAAACTGATGCGTTTGCTACAAGAAGAATCTTGGTTGTTTTGACCTTGAGTGATGGGAAGCAGGAAATAGATAAGGATGGGATTTGAAGGTGAATAAAATGGTTTAGAGATTCATTTACCAGTCATTTGTTAATTGATTACGTTTACTGGCCCCAGTGTGCTAGGCCATGTGATAGAGAGCAAAGAACAAATGTTGCCTGCTTTAAAGAATGTTTTTAATGTTTATTTTTGAGAGAGAGAGAGAAAGAGAGAGCGAGCGAGCAGGGGAGGGGCAGAGAGAGAGGGAGACAGAGAATGTGAAGCAGGCTACAGGCTCCGCGGTGTCATCACAGAGCCAAATGCAGGGCTCCCACTCATAAACCACGAGATCATGACCTGAGCTGAAGTTGGAAGCTTAACCAAATGAGCCACCCAGGCACCCCAAATCTTGACAGCTTTTGAGGAACTTTTACTTTGATGGAGAAATAAGACATGTAAAGTAGTACAAGTAACATAGTATGTGCTCAAGAGACTATGGCACAAGATAGGCTATGGCTGTGAAAGTTTCTATTCATCAAAGGGGAAGGGGACATTACTTTGGAGCAAATTGGGAGTTGTTTACATAAGAAACAGGCTTTGAGATGAATGAGAGCAAAGACTATGGGTATTTTGTTCACCATCTATCCCCACCAGTTAGCAGAATGCCTGACAATAAGTGTTCAGGGCTTGTGAGTGGCTCAGCCGGTTAAGTGTCTGACTTTGGCTCAGGTCATGATCTCATGGTCTGTGAGTTCGGACTCTCTGCTGTCAGTACAGTGTCTGCTTCGGATCCTTTGTCCCCGTCTCTCTCTGCCCCTCCAATTGTGTTCTCTCTCTCTCAAAATAAAGTTTAAAAAAGAATAAGTGTCCAATTATTTGTTTAATGATTGAATGATACTAGCATGCGTGGGCAAAAGCCATTTATAGGAACTTATCACAGTGTGTTTAGTTCATTAGTCATACACCACACTGGGCAGCTCTGAGAAAGAGAGATCAGCATTTCAGACCTTAGCTTGCATTTACAAAGCAAGAAGAACAACTTTTTCCAAAAGGACACACAACATGCTCCCTTATTTTACCATTGGAACAGAGCAGGAATCAGGATCTTGGCTTCACTCAGAAAAACCTGGGCTTGACTCTCATGTCGATTACTTAGTGGTTAGATGACCCTTGATTTCCCTCATCTATGAAATGAGACTAATAATCTTGCTAGTTCATCATAGGATCAAATAAGCAAAGCATATAAAACATGGAGCTTCTAGGAGGGGTTCTAGAAATATTCCCTATGCCTCTTCTCTTAAAGGACACTAAACCAGATGGAAAGTGTGATTGCCTTTGGGTTTTATGACTTTGTTTGTGGTTTCTAACCATCATATTCTCCATCTCGTTCCTCACAGATTCAGAGACATATTGTGTGTTTCAAGACAAGAAGTACAGAGTGGGTGAGAGATGGCATCCTTACCTGGAACCTTATGGGTTGGTTTACTGTGTGAACTGCATCTGCTCAGAGGTACAATCCTTCACAGCATATAATTATCCAGTTTGCTCTTTAGACATACTTTCTTTGCCTGGATGGCTGGGAAGCATGGGTGGTAAAAACCTAAGAGAAGTTAGGAAGCAGTTTGTAAGGAAAAATAAACATCTGACTTTTTCGTCTTGTTGCCTTTTGGCTTGTTGCCTTTGGGATCCCTGAGTATTCGCTGTGGCCTAATATTTATAGTCTCTTAGCCAAATGATACGGGACATGGTGGGAGAAGGTAGAAGAGTTTGATTAGTGGGAATGGGGAAACAAAGCTCAATATAATACCTGGATTATAAGACAAAATCATTTTCGAAGGTCATTTTCAAGACTTGCCTTTAAAATTTTTTTTTATTGATTTCTGAGAGAGAGAGACAGCGTGAGCAGGGGAGGGTCAGAGAGAAAGGGAGATACAGAATCTGAAGCAGGCTCTAAGCTAGCTTTCAGCACAGAGCCTGATGCGGGGCTTGAACCCATGAACCGTGAGATCATGACCTGAGCCGAAGTCGGACGCTCAACCGACTGAGCCACCCAGGAGCCCCAAGACTGGCCTTTAAAGAAGAGCTTAGGGCAGGTTATACACTGGTTCATCGGAGAGTGTATTTTTTGTTGTCTCTCCTCGTAACCATAATTAGGATCGAGGCTGTGAAACCTTGGCCCGTACCTGCTGATGATTAGAATTCTCTTGGTTTGATCATGGCTCCTGCCCAATCATTCAGAGAGGTGTTTGGACACCTTAAATGCCATCTGTGCAATAGACAAAACAGATAGTCTCATCTTCTTTCCATGGCCTTGATTCAGGACCACAGGTGTGGCCCATCTTTCTAGATAAGCTTCTGTCATCATATAGTAGTCCAGGGTTTCTCAATCTCTGCACTATTGACATTCTTGCACAGATAATTCCTTGTTGTAGGGGCTGTCCTAGACTGTGTAGGATATTTATCAGCGTTCCTGGCCTCTACCCACTAGACACCAATAGCACCAATCGCAGTTGTGACAACCAAAAATGTCTCGAGATATGGCCAAAGTTGCTTGGGGAGCAAAATGACTCCTGGTGGAGACCACTGCACTAGGTCAATTGGTAAAGGAAGCCTTGTACGAGGCCTTGAGAAAAGAGAACTCAGAACATATGGAAAGAATTTTCAAGACCAGCCTCTCACTTGAGACCTTGTGGAAGAGCTGTACACCCTCCCTAGTGCCCAGGTAGAATAGAAGCAGTCACTTGCAAGCCAGATTGTTTTGCCATTTAAATAGAGGGTTGGGCTTCTAGAATATTAAGGATGTGAAAACCTAACCTTTGGGCAATAGGAGATAATGTTAAGAAGCTCCTAGGCTCTAGGGTCAAGGCAGACCATGTTTCCAAGCCGCGCTCTGCCACCTGTGAGTCGTGTTATGTTGGACAAGTTACCTAACCTCTCTGTGATCCCTTCAGCTTGTTTTTCTTTAAAACAGGATAATGATACTACATATTTCATATGGTTGTGCTAAGGATTAAATTCACTAATACATTTCAATCACTTAAAACAGTGCTTGGTCATAGCATTCAAGAAATGTCAGCTGCTGTCATCATCATCATCACTATCATATCGTATTATTTTTATTTATTAACTCTGGAACAGAATTCAGTTCAACTCATTAAGGAAGCATCTGTGTAGGCCTCAAACCAAAGGAGTGGTTTCTGATGTGCTTTGACGATTTCAGTTCAAAATGATACACTTTGCTCTGAGGAGTGTAGCACAAAAGGGGGCTCTGGTGTTTCCAAATGCAACACTCCAAAAATTTATTCTAGAAGGTCCATGAGAAAAGAAAATGGTTTATGGTAAGGTCATTTGAATTTGGATCAAAGGCCAGGGCAGGTATTAAATAGGGCATCTGGGGACTGATTAACTGCCTGGTATGACATGATTGTCTTAGATTCTTGACCCAACATTGGAAATGGACAGCTAACCCTTGGAGGCTGAGATTTGCTGTCTGCAGGGCAGTAAAAATGTTAATATGATCCCAAAGCCAACAGGTCAGGCACTAGGCATCTTCCCTTTCATCCTCTTTGTCACCTTCTTCCCCCACAAAAGCGTGATAAATGCAAGTAACCCGTGCTTGGAATGAATTATGGATGGAAATGCTAATGCATAATTGATTTCCAAAAGTTTCCTGTGATCTAGCATGGCTGAGGGCTGTCAGAGCTAGGAATCTTGTCATTGTAAATTGGTCAGGGACCCAGTCACCCCCCAGGAACACTAGGTAATCAGTTCAATTCCAAAGCCTAGCTGTTCTCAGAAAACTTACGACTGAAACTGGAAAGGAGGAGACGAGGCAGTCAGCCTGCTGGACCAAGGCAGAATTACATGGAATCCAGGACCCATGTGCCAGGAATGTCTCCTTGCCCAGGGGTGGGTAGCAGCTCAGGGGGACCCATCACTCCTTATCCCTTCCCTCCTGTGGTATTGAGCAGGTGATTATGTAGTTAGAATAGGCTCTTGTTGATGTGAAGCTGGAGCCAGAAATGCTAGAAACACCACAAAGCCAGGCCAGCAGGAGCTGTTTTCCCCACAATTAGTGGGAAGCTTTGAAAACTAGAGCAATGGTGACCCCAGCTTCAGAAAGATATGCCAGCAAGCTATCCACCAACCCAGCAGAGGTGCTAGGGGTGAGAAGAGGGAAGAAAATACTGATTTCATTCAGCTTCTTAGGAATGCGTCATCCGCTGTCTGGGTGAGTCTCTGTGTGCCTGTTTCTCAAATTGGAATGACCACAGGTGACCTTTGAAAGACATTCATTTTTTTTCATGATTGCCTCTTCTCTTTCAGAATGGGAATGTGCTTTGCAGCCGAGTCAGATGTCCAAGCCTTCATTGCCTCTCCCCTGTGCATATACCACATCTGTGCTGCCCACGCTGCCCAGGTAAAACCAGATCGCCTCTCTCTTCCCCGGCTGTGGTTCTCCTTCCTTCCTCTTCCACCCAACCCACTCCATCTGCCTAATTCCCCAGAAGGGAAACTTCCAGACAGAAATAACAATAGGACGCTTTTTAGGCAGGCCGCGTTGGCCCCTAAATGCTGTTTATAGCCCAAGCGGGGCACATTCTAGACTCTAATAAGTTATTGGGTACCCAGTAACAGATTTTCATTGGGCTTTTAATCATTTGAAGGTGGATGTCAGTTGGGGGAAGGGAATTGTGGCTCAGAGAGTTTGTGCCATAACAACCTCTTCCTGCCATGGGCAGCGGGCACCAGGGGAATTGTAGCATGGCGGCACGTGTCTCAAGCAATTAGTGCCGGAATTGCATAAATCAAAGGAGCTGAACCAGTGAGGTTTATGACAGTATAAAGCTGCCTGCCTGCTGAATAGACACCTCCTCCAGACTGCACAGCTATTATGTACACATTGTTAAGAGCAAATCTAAGGGGGAGGCGGGCAGAGACTTTTTCACAAGGCTGTTAGGACCGTCTACTTTGATGGTTTGCGGGTAGGGTGTTTGTCTGAGGCAGCGGCTCCCTCAGTGACACTTTGTTCATGTCTGACTGGGACCTGGCTCCCACACCAGAGGCATGCAGGCATGGAATGATTAAGAGAATGCTGTGGGCCGGACAGCAGTCCCAGGAAAAGCTAAGTGACAGCCTTGGGATCTAGGCAGTAGAAGCCTTGTGGTCCTGTAAATTGATCCTCTTTCCCTCTAGGATGGAGGTTCTTGAGTTGGAGTCTGTGGGTGGGCTTTATGGGGTCAATGAACCATTTAAAACTGTTTCATTTTTGGTGTAACTCTGTCTACATGTAAATTCTTTTAGAGACGATCCATAGTCTATTGGTATTCATAAAGGGGGTGTATGTGACCCTAAAAACATGAAAGACCACTAGTCTAGGGCATAGGTGGCGCTTTTTTAAGTAGTAAGTAACCTCCTGAACTTAAAAGACAGGAACCAGAAGTGTCAGGGCAGCAATGGTAGGGATAGGGCCAGGAATAAGGTTCAGCAAAAGTTCAGTTAACATTCCAGTTATAGGAATGGAGGTGTATAATGGAGAAGAAGCCCCCAAACCATTTCAGTCATTACCTTTGTGAACTATACTTTCCTGCATCAGTAAATACACACTGATGGACACAGGAGATTGTCTCCCAGATGGCAAAAGATCATGCCATGTCATACATTTATCATTCTGAATATTGGTGATGATAGTATATGCTTCAAGGTGTAAGAGACTAACGGCATAAGATCTCTCTGAAAGTTGGTTTTTGGAATAAATCCCTAAATGAGGCTTACTATTTCTATAGTTCTTTCTTTGCTGCTTCTACTGAAACTGGATTATGAAGGAGGGGTAGATGGTAGATGGAGCAAAAGTTTTGATTAAAAAGGCCAATCTGGAGACTTTTTCCCACTTTTTTTCCACCCAAAGCCTCCAAAAGTGGTCTCATGCCATAGGAATGTTATCTAAGCTATGTAAACATTGTTCTTCCCTGGGAGGGAGGTTGAGGCATGACCCAGATACAAAGCATAGAGCAGAAAGAAGACTGTACAGTGCAGTATGGCTATTACCTACCCCAGCTGCAAATAGGAAGCAACTGTTGAGAAAGAGCAAACTATAAGCCAGCAGTTCCTTTGAGAGAAAAGACAGTATTAAAAGAATAGAGGCCATCAATACCAGAAAAGAGAAAATTGTCTTTAAGGCTTAAAAAAACCATTTTCAGGATATAGAAATGAGCTGTGCATTTTCATTTCCCCCTTGTTCTTGTAGGTCACTTCCTTTTGAGTTCATTTTTCTTCTTGTTAACTGTAACCTTTAACAGTTCTTTCCGTGGGTGGTGGTACCAAAGTTCCCTTTGCATCCTTATATGCAAAATGTCTTTATTTTGCCCTCATCCTTGAATGATAATTTGGCTAGGTCAAAAAATTCCCTCAACACTTTTAAATACTAATAAATGGTCTATTGGCTTCCTTCCTTTGTGTTTAAGAAGTCTGATATTTGATTGTAGTTCTTTTCTAGGTAACCTGTTTTCTCCTTCTTCTAGCTTTTAAGATATCCTCTTTTTTTTTTTTATGCACATGACGAGGTGTGTAGATGTGTGATTTATTTTTATTTAGCCTGCTTGGTCCATCGTTTTTTCAGCCAAAAGGCTCAAGTTTCTCTTCAATTTTTACTCATGGTTTTTCTGAAAATTACATCTTACCCTTATTTTTTCCTCATTCTCAAAATTGCCTATAACATATGTTTTTGTAGCTCATTTAATTTATCCTCTGTATCTTTTAATGCCTCTTTTATATTTTCTGTCTTGGAATACTCCCTGTAATGATATATTACTTTGGTTCTGTCCTCCAATTCATGAATTCTTTCTCAAGCCTTTTCATACCTACTTTTCAGGCCATCTGTTGGGTTTTGTTTGTTCTTTTATTTTCAATAACTGTATTTACCCCCAAGTTCTTGAATTACATTTTAAATTATCTATATATTGCTGTTTTATAAACCTTGTTATTATTTCTTGGGACCTTATTCTTTTATTTATTTCATTAAGGCATTTAAGTGTTTATTTAGAGTCCATTCTAGATGCTTTAAATGTCTATATTTTTTGGGGGCATGAATTCTCAGTTTTACTGGGTTTCTTGATGGCTTTTCTTAGTTCTGAATTCTTAGTTCCCCTTGTTTTCTAAAATGCTTGTTTGTTTGTATAAAGCCTTCCCTCCTGGTAGGAATATTGTTCCAGGCCACACCATTCACCTAACTCTGAACCACGTCATACATTAGTGTCTCAGCTTGGGCTCCCTGATGCCTGGATATTCTATTTCAACCTGTGTTTTCTTGTGCAGTGCCAGTCCCTGATAATGATCTTGTACTGTGACTTCAGCTGCAGATGCCTACCTTGGGAGGGCCACCTCAGGTGGGCAGAGCTATGTCCCCCCCTGTTCACATGTGAGGAGTGGGGCCCTATTCCCCACCTTTACATGAGAAGCCACTTGGAGGCTATAGGTCTTTCCCGGCTGTCTGGCCTCAACTGTCTGTATCTAGCTCCAGCTGCCCTATGGACCATATGGCTTTGGCCCCTCCCTTTATTGCTGTACTTTCATTCTATGTTTTATTCTAAGAAGTCTTGTTTTGTTTCTAAACATAATTTTGCAGTTTTAAAGTTTTTATTTATTGGGGCACTGGGGTGGTGCAGTTGGTTACGCATCCAACTTCAGCTCAGGTCATGATCTCACGGTTTATAGGTTCGAGCCCTGCAAGGGGCTTTGTACTGACAGCTCAGAGCCTATAATCTGCTTTGGATTGTGTCTCCTTCTCTCTCTGCCCCTCCCCAACTTATGCTCATCTGTCTCTCAAAAATAAATAAACGTTTACAAAATGTTTTAAAGTTTTTATTACTTATTTACTCATTTTTACTTATTTTTTCTTTATTGTTTTACATTTCATCCCTCACTCTTTGGTGGAAAAAGAGCAGGGAGATCTCTCCTGTGCCCTCCGTGCCATATTGAACAGGAATGCAAACCAGCTATTCTCACTATTGAAGATCAAACAAGAGTGAATAGGTTTAAACCATAGCAGAAAAGAATGGAGTTTGATAAAGGGATGAACTTTGGGACACAGTGGCTGTTAAATCCTAGAATAAATGACTAAGGAGAATCTCCGTCTCTTTACGGCATATTTCTGTAAGTGAAAAGGTACCCACCCATCTGAGATAAAGTTGTCACTGTTCTGCTTTGAGACAGGGCGCTGGCTGGGATGACTCCTCTGTATTCCTTCCACCCCAGTGATTATTAGGCATGAGGAAACTCCTGCCTTCAGGGCCACAGGAATGCTTGGTCAAAGGAAGGGGCTCTAATTTTCTTTCTTAACCCAAAAGAAGGCACTGTGATGAAAATGTTTTCAGTGCAAAGTAGATTTATAAGCCAAGATGATGACCAAGTTCTGTATCAAAAAAGGAAAACAAACAAGGAAGACATATGCCCAAGGTTTGGCCTTGCATACGGTTCTATAGCAGTATTGACTAGAACCGTTCACATGGATGGAGATAGATTCAGTGGGAGGGTCCTGCTAGATATGCCTGGACCTAATGTTCCATTGGAGGAGACATAGGAGCCATTGTCCTCCATTTGTTTCCCTGCTCCCCCTGGCTCTTGCTCACTAAACTCCCTACCCCGGAAATTTCCGAGGTTCCCACCTGTATTTGAGGTGGTCTCCTGCAGCTCCTGTTGAACTATGGCAATCAAAGTACGCACAGTGCTTTTCCAGAATTACCAGAGAGAAAGCTATATTGATTCCCATTAAGAGAAAACAAAAAAAAATTTTTTTTTTATCAGCACTTCCCCAAGTGTCAAGGCAGAGAGGTCAGGGGTCAGGTCATGGCCACATACGACAGGGTGCTCTACTATGCCTGAAGAGGCAGGTGCTGCATGGAAGTTAGAACATTCTTTTTTCTTAGGCTTATTTATTTTGAGAGAGAGAGAGAGAGAGTGTCAGAGTTCCAAGCAAGATCCACAATGTCGGCACAGAGCTCAACTTGGAGGTTAATCTCATGAACCATGAGATCATGAGCTGAGCCGAAATCAAGAGTCAGACGCTTAACCCACTGAGGCACCCAGGTACCCCAAATTTAGAACATTCTTAATGGAAAAGTCGAAACTGCATAGAAGTCAGAAGGGTCACTAAATCCATACCAGTAGATAAGCAGGACCCTCTATAGTCCATGATAATGAGAGATTTATGAGAACAAAATTACAGATCTCTTCTGGGGAAGTGGAATGGTAAAAGGGGGGAGGAGGAGAGAAAGGACAGGACTCCTTTCCTTTTGTTCTTTATATATAATTTTATCATGAAAAGAAGACTTTTATAGGGACCAGGAGTCTAAATTATGATATTACCTAATAAGATTGTTTTAATGCCTAATTTGCTACTCAGAATTCATAAATTTGGGTTCC